CGCACAATTTCGAAGAGCCGGTCTCGGGTAGCATCGGACGCTTCGGCTTCTTCCGTCATTGCGACGAAACGCACCACTTGGTTATTGCCCGGCCAATTTTCAGCCCAAGCATCTTGCGAAGAAGACCAGGTAGAGACATGGGCCAGAAGAATATGCAGCATGTCATCTGCTCTTGACTACCCAGGCTTTACACCTGCACTAGCCACGAAGCGTGTTCAGGTGTAGATGCGGCCTTTGTGAAGCGAGCGGCTCTGCTGGCTGCTGTGCAGGTAGCAGATCGCATTCAACACCGGATGTTCATGTCGGACCGCGCTCCTCAGGGAGGCACGTCAGCAGCTCCTCGTAGTTGATGCCAGCGAAAGCCTGAGCGCTGCGTTCTTGCTGGACGATGCTTGACTGCGCGGTTGTCGGAAGACCAACAGCCCACCTCCACGTCCCTAGCCGTGGCAGTTCGCGTCTTGGTCCTTATGGCTCCAAGATGGACAGCAGCCTGGCATGGCCGTACAGAACACACGGTACGATTCTGTCAGACGCATCTCCGTGACGTTGTACGAAACAGTCTGAGACGAGGCGGAGCGGCTACAGGAGCACCGTTCTGTTTGTCGGCGAACACCTAGCACGCAAAGCCGATACGTGCAGCGCAGACACTCCGGCTACAAATGACACACCAGTCAGGCACCGCCCTGGATGCACCTCGAAAAAGCGCTTGATCAGTCTGGGCGCTAGATCTGTGGCTCCAAAGGGCCCCACCTTAGGATAGTCCAGAGGATTCCTTCCGAGGGAGTGGTTTTCCTTGCTGGGATACAGACTAAAGGTGCTGAGGTTGGTCCTGCTGCGAAAAACCTGTGCCAACAAGCTCTAAGACTCTAAGTCTCTAAGTATGGCCACAAGGAAACAGGTGCTACAATGAAGGGGGCTCACTCTCTGGCAATCAAGTCTGCCGCTGCAACCGAAGCAAGGTCGCACCTCGAGCACTTCTCGGGAGGTTTCTTTGGACAGACGAATAAGCCGACTGGGTAGGCTGCGTGTCTGTGCGCCCCAAATCGACAATGTTCATGGCCGGCACCACTGCCTGTCCACACCAGCACTACGGCCCAAAATATGAAACCTCGTAGATGCCAAACCCTACAGCACCGAAACGATTGAGATCCCAATAGAGCCCTTTCGATGCCGCATCATGCTCTCACAGGCACCGATCGTGATCTTATCTCCCTCCTGGATCCGCGACGAAGAACAAAAGCGTTAAAAATTAACCAGATCCTCAGAGATCGAAGCACGCTGTGCTTGCCCAACCAGAGCTGGAAGGAAGCAACAGCCGAATCGTTGAGAAGGCATACCCCGAGCGGTGCCAAACTATACTTGTCTAGAAGGGAGCGCCCGCTGTGCTTCGTGGCTCCCTGCAGTGTGAAGTTCTTCAACGTGGACGCCAGGCTTCTGGATGCAAATCAAGGCGGAAACTATCAGAAAGCACGACAACAGAAAAGCACTGACACCGGATCGGGGTTGTTGATGAAAAGCAATTCTCTGTATGAGAGAGTCGGGGATCAGGACCCGACGAGTTGCTGAATCGAGCGAGATAGCTACGCAATGGCTGCGTCTGGAACCGGGCACTTAAGGTCTGCAGCTTAATTGCTAAGCGGGCAGCACTCCCAAATTCCTGCCTCCTTGAGGTTGCACCGGCTCAGCAGCAGCCTGGGACTTTGTTGCAGTGCTACTGCCAATCAGAGAGATCTCCGGACGGCCTCAGTCCGATCGCCTTTGGGATGAAGCCATCGCGGTCCAGGTCGCTCTGTGCACCGAGCGTGCATAGAGCAAATCATGGACTTTAAGCGCACTGCATGGGCAGTCGTCCTGCTGGAAGGCTGTCCGAAGCTGATCGAAGTCCCGGTGTGGCACTGACAGAAGATGTTGCGGTCAAGCATGGCATGTCTTGCGTTGAATGGTGCGTGGCGCTTTGCATTCTGAGCTCTGGACCCACGGCAGGCAACAGTATGAGGCTCAGCGAGTAGCACAGCATTTTGTACCGAAGCTCCTTGGCAAAAGCGAACCCACAGCACACGGGCATCCAGCGCGATGCAACATGTCCCTGGCACCTTCGGGTCTCTGAGCTGCTGGCCCGGGCTTCTTTCGTGTTACTGTGATTTGTATTGATGGTGCTGATGGGCATGATGCCCTGAGCTTTGAATTTGTGATCCTCATCGAAAGCTGGACCGCTGCACCGGGTGCCTTCAGCCACGGATGGTGCAAGGCTTTTGCGGCTGTCGGCCGCTCTCCAGCAGGCCTCAACAAGAAAAGTCTTATGACCTGAGGGACCACCGCTTACCAAAACATGGCCAAAGTCCACCACGCACAGCCGTTAGTCGTTGGTTGTCGTTGGTTGGGTCTTAGCTAGTCTGCGGATCACTCGCAAGCGGCCAGGCCTCAGGAGACGCAGGACGAAGTCTCGGGCCATCGGACTTCTCTCACTCCATCCTGACAGATGACACATGTCAGGATCGGTCCGCGCTCCAACTGCAACGGCTCTTTTTCTGGCACCTTCGTCATCCCTGCTGAAGCCCCAGCCTCTCCTGCAGAGAGAAGCACGAGCACTCTGCGCACGATGCTGCACGTTGTAGCTCTCACGGCTCCTTGAGCTCACACTGGCACCGCTTCCCACGAGGAGCGCATGGGCGATAGCACCCACACTGGCGCATTCGCTGCGATGCTCCAAGGTCGCTTGCTTCACCGACTGCATTGCACGCACTGTTGCGTTTGCGGGCATCAGGGCCTCCACATGTCGGCACCGCCGTGCTTTATGGGCTCAGAGTTCTTTAAAATCTGGCATGGGCATGGTACAGCATGCTGCATGTTGCGAGACGCAAAACCATTGGGGCCCGAGCTTCTGGAACCGTGTACTCGTTCGGGTGCTTCTGAATAATCCTTGCCCGAGGCCCGAGGCAGAGGCGTTTGAGGCCAAGGCCGCCAACAGCGCCGAGGCCAACAGCGCCAAGGGACGCGTTGTCGGGATCCAGGATGTTTGCAAGGCCAAAGTCCACCACCTACGAGGGGCGAAGGGCGAGGAACGGTGGCATCTTTGCCAAGGCTGCCAAGGCCTTGATGACGGCATCTGGCAGCTTCGTGGTCAGGAGGAGGTTGCTGGGCTTCAAGTCACGATGGAAGACCTCTCGGGCTACCGGGCTGCGCCGTTTCTAGCTTTCCGAGTGTTGTGCAGAAGTGGCCTGTGCCGAATGGCTGTGGCACAAGGCTAGCAGTGCCTGGACGGAGTTGCTTTGCCCATCTGACAGTTACAAAGCCCTCAACCTGCCTGGCGTACATACGCTGCACATGTCGATTCCTGCGCGTGGTGTACGTTGTGGCGGCATTCACATGTTGCAGATTGGAAGACAACGTGCCTGCAACCAATTGCCCTCGTCCATTTTCTCTAGCCAGTCCTGCCAAAAGCATGAAAAGCAAGACTTGCTAGGGGGCCACGAAAGCTGGTGGGACCAGGGTCTAAGGGCTACGATGCCCGCCCCGAGGCCCCGCAGTAGGTGCGGGCAACGCGAAGGAAGGCAAACCCTTCCTACCTCTAGCCCAGGAACGAACCTGTTGCCTTGCTACCAGGTGTCTTTGCATGTAGCCTTTGGTTTTGGCTGCAGAGGGTTGTCTACCAAAGCTCTTGCACAACAGCAGCTGTAGTCGCCGTGATAGCCAAGCCAAGGAGGGGTGGAGTGGGGCCTACCATTGCTAAAAAGGCAGGGGGTGACCCCACCTACATGCCTTGAAGTCATATTGAGCCCCGATTTATCAGACCTACAGGCCCCAGAATGACATGTTAGCCCGCTGTTGGCCGGTTCTTGTCTTGGTCTTTCTTACCGACAACTCCCGCAAGCTCCTGAAGAGCTAGCTTTCGTGACTGCGGACAACCTGCCTGGACATCACCGCCCATATAGTAATCGCTGATGATGTAGTAGTTCTTGTCATCCTGCACCGGACATGAGATGACACGCGCCCCTCGCGCAAGCCACCGAAGAGCTAGCTACGGTATGCAGTCCTCCATCAGATCAGTAATGCTGGAGATGTGCGGATGCTGTAGATCCTGCGTCTTGCAAGTACACAGACGAAATCAATTTCGTCTTGTCTCTCGACGAGATGTGCGGTGTGGCCTGTAACGCGCTGAGTTTTTCCATCACGTTGGTGGCCGTTCGCACCGTCGCCTGCACACATTCGAAAATTCAACGTCCAGTGTCTCCGGCGCATCCTTGGGAAAATGCCTTGGGCACGGTCTTGCACATCTTCAGCTTCTGGGAGTCTTTCTCTTTCATGACCTGACGCGGCGACCGACGTTTAAGCGGGGCTTTGTCAAAGTACTGCGACATGCCATCCCCGTGTGAAGCTCTTTCGACCGCATCGAGCTCTCCAATGCGGACAGGCTCGTTATTTCTGTCTTCAGGACACGTCCTGTCTGGGCCAGGAGCAGCCCAAGGCTGGCAAACCCGAGATGCCTTTTGCAAAAACCACAAAAGAAAGAGCAGGATGACTGAGACCTTGTGCGTGTTTCTCAGCATGAGGAACAGAGGCGGCGACCAGCTTGGCCGTCACCGGTCTGTAGAATTCCAAGCACAACCCATCCGTCAAAAAACAACGTTTCGGAGATCACACGGCGGCAGCGCGACCAGGCTACGTGTGGCTCCAAACCAAATCAAGAACGTTGACCAGAAATTCCTTCGACTAGTGAACACACTCTTGCTAGAACGAAAGAGTACTGCCAGAACATTCCTGATGATGTTCAGGGTGGTCACGGTGATACCCTCCAACACGAAATTCCAGGTTTCCAACATGCCAGACTATCTCCAGAAGTCTGCAGAGCTATGGCTTTTCAGGATCACGACAAAGTTGACGATTAATGGTTGGACGGTCAGAAAAGCGCTCGCGGCCTCATCGTTCAAACGGTTGGTGAAAACACTCGCTGAGATCCGGCAAGAAGCCGAGGTGGCTACTTCGGCTGCAGAGAGGGCTGAGAACCACAAACAGGCTTGAGGTAATCAACTTCGGATATAGCTCTGCATCGCGACGTCGACCGAGCCAATCCAGGCCGCCAGGCCAGCAGTTTGCTCACGATTCACATCCTTGTGCATTGCTGATTTTGGTGAAGCTGCGTGAGGCACCGAATTCCCTGCTGCGAGCCCGTCTCGGCCGCATCTGGGTGCGTTGTTGAGGCATCTGTGACTGCGACCAGGGGTCATTTCCGCATATTTCCGCCAGCCCACGGATCAGCCTGAGGCAAAGCAGCATAGTTCCCGGCTGACGGCGTCCCCGTGGTAGGCATGGCTCCATTTAACCTAGCCTGAGCTGTGGGAGCAGGCTTGGGCACCTTGTGCCGTCTTTGCGCTCAAGATTCTCCCTGGTGCTAGGTATCCTCCTCTCGGTGTACAGCCGCTCTGCTTTGCTGTCCTGCGCATGGCGCAGTTGACCTGCTCCAATTGTTGTTCGTGTCCCAGATCCTCGAAGCATCTTCGAGGATCTGGATCGGAGCTGACTGTGTTCCAGCTGCTTGCAGTGGTGACAGTTGGAACAGCCAGTCATTGGCTCGCATACATAAGACTTTCAGAAACTGGATTATATATATATATATATATATATATAGTATCTTTGCTGAGTCAACTGTTGAGATACTCTTTGTTTCCGGGACGATGCGTTCGCTCGCTTCCTTAGTTAATGGCTAACGCATGCTGTCATCCTTCCCCCACTCGACGATCGCTAGGAGGCTCCTTGTTGACATGCACGGATCGGGGATCTTCGACTGCGGGCCTTGTCCGCCTCCAGATGGTTGCTACTTATCGCGAAAATGATCCGGTGCTCCGGAGGTTGTCTCTGTAATCCTGAACTTAATCGCATCACCAGCTTTCCACGCACTGCAGCCCAGAACAATGGCGTCTGACGATGAGCATCTGCTTCCTCCAAGTCGACGCTCGTTCGAAGACAGCGTGTGCCAGGAGCTCACAACCACCCCGACATCGCGCTACTACAAAGAACACGATGTTTTGCCGAACGGTGTTGTGCGTGCAGCCAGGACGCGTCGAAGTTTTACCAAAGCTTCTTTGGCTTCAGCAAGTATACGAGAAAAGTGCAATTTTCCAATCGGCTGGTGCGCTTCGGCACAGTTGCTGTCGGGATCCTCTGCTCCACCGGATCGCTACGGCACAACGACCAGCAGCACCAGCCACATCTTACATGCCGCTGGAAAGCAAGGCGAGCAGGTATGGCAACCTTTCTCTCCGAGCCCCGACACAGACGGGCACTTCAACTTCGAGACGTCCCTGCTCTTGCCATGTAAGCACAGCCTGGCAGAGGACGGGTCAGACAAAGCGCAAAGGCTCTTTTACCCCTGCAGTCCAGCATCAGCCTGGCCGAGAATCACTCGCACAGGTGGCGATGCATGCATATGGACTCGGGGAATAACGGAACTATCCCAAAAGACGGACCTCGGCAAAAGACTCCGTCTTCCCGGTGCCAGCTTCTGGCTCCAGGATGGTCTGAGACTTTGCTCAGACGCGTCCACGATGGGAGCAGCCTGCACCTGAGCATTTTGCCGCCAGGAAATGTGACCGTGTGGGTGGAGGGTTGCGACTCCCTCGCTTGCAAGCAGTGCCAGCACTCCCGGTCTGAGGCAACCGGCCCAGTACTTAGGAGGCTGTATCCTCGAGAGGAGTAGCGCTTCTAAGCTCAGAACATCTGCTGACTGATGGCACAACGCGACAACATGGCCTCACCCTCACCGTGTCGGTTGCAGATTCCTTGACATGCGCCTCAACTTTCGGCGCGGACGTCATACACACACACACACGCGCACGCACAAAGATGCTGAAGCTCCGATGCTGGATGAAGGAGGTGCCTGGTTGCATGTGTTGGAGATGGAAGACCTGCAGCCGCTTCCCAACCCACACTGACACGTCGAGTCTCAGGTCCGCCTGCTCAGGCATGGCAGTGAGCCCGCGTTTCTTTGGCGGGCCACCTGAGACCCAAGGGTCGCACGGCACCTGCACCACAAGCATCCACAAGCCACAAGACTGCGCAGGCCTTAAGAGGACCCGGAGGGATGCGAGGATGCCTCAGAGTGCCCGAGGGGGGCGGGCTTGCCAAGGCCGACCTCGCACGTCGAGTGGCATCTCGGCTGAGAGCTCGCAGCACGTCGAGCGGCCCCGGCGGAGCCCTCGCTCTGGTCACCAGTGGTGAACCGAGAACCTCCTTCTCCCTGCAAGCTGCTTGCGTCAACACAGCTCGTTCAGCTCTTACCGGTCTTACGAGTTCCGCAGCCTCGCAGAGCTGAACGGATCTCTCCTCAAACTGAAAAACATCATCGTGTTTTTTGGCTATCTGGCTCTCCCTGCCAACTCAGACCCTGGCGCAGGTTCGTCAGCAAGCTTCCTGCAGACCACGGTAAAGTCATGCTCAAACACACATCACTCGCTCACCGAGGCACCAAGGACATGAGCACATCTGTGGAGTTGGCTTGTCATGTCGAACAAACGTTCTTGCTCGTGAGTTACCGACATTGCTCCTGCATGGGGGGTGCCAAATTCCAGACGCAGGCAAAGGACACAAATAACGTCTCGACATCGGTTTCTGCAACAAGTGAAGCCCCTTCAGCTTCTAGACCGACTAGTCTAACTTAGTCTTGTGCTTACCACATTGTCGCAGCACAGCACGACTGCGACGTTCTGATGTTGTACCTCCTCGTTCTTTCTTTGATATCTTGTCCGGCATTGCCGACTCCGGGCTGCTCGAGGCCGCATCCTTTCCGGCTGGCCGCAGGGCCAAATTGGGCCCATGTCGCTGTGGGGCGAGAACATTGCCGTGAGCAATTCACCAAGCTGCGTGTGCTCGGCAAACAAATCTGCAAAAGAAAGCACGTTGCAGATCATTGCTTTTCGTATGTGCAAAACCATAGTGCAGGTTCACGTCAGCCTGTAGAGGAAAAAGGGATCGAACCGGATGCCTTTGGCGAACTTCGTCGAGACGACAGTTTGTTGGGGAAAGTGAGACGCTCGACTGTCGTGACTAACTGGTGTGGAAGGTTGCAGCGCTTGCTGCTGAAACTGCTGTCTTCACATCGGGTGTGTAGTGGAGGAGTCGATAGCGGCAGAAGGCGAAACTTAAGCGACACAAGCCCGGCAACTCAGCAAGCGACACTGTCTCGGCAATGCCATGCGCCGTTCCAGGCTGCCTTCGTGTTACACAAATCTTGTGAGGCAAATCACTTGTCTCCGAGAGTGTGGCCACGAGTACGCCCCAACTTCGACAGCCGGGCTTGTCCTGGCCGGCTCGTACTGATGCCGACGAGCTTTCCGTCCCGAAGCATGCCCCCAGCCTCTGTACTCGAGTTGAGAGATCTGCGAGCGTGTTCCTACGGAGATGTTCATCGAACGAGATTCTAGTCACTAGTCTCATGCTCAGCAGGCCTGTAAGCAAACGGAGGCGACAGGAATGCAGCGACGAGGGACGCCCTGGCGGCCGCTGAGGGCCTGTGATGCCAACACTGTCTTCCGCCAACGCCCAAGACCAACCAAGCAGGGTCTCTGAGACGACGGCGCATCGTCCGTAGATTCTGGAAGATTCCTGCCAGCTGCGTCTATCGATGATGCAGCACAGTGATCCAAGTATTTCCAAGCACTTCTCTCAACTGTACGGAGAAAGTCTTTCCGTTGCCTGCTCTGGAGTGGAGGTGATACAAGTTGGGCAACA